TGACATGCGCCATCTTCTTATTCTCTTGGATCTTGCTCATGCCCTTCTCTTCTTTCTTCAAGGAGCAATTTCTTACATGGTGACCCTCGTTCTTGCACTTAAAGAAAGTGATGAGAGTCTTCTTTGGTTGAAGTTGCACCTTGGTGGCCTTGGGGGCTTTGCTGTTCTGCCTAGGTGTGGCACCGCCATACTGGGATGAGGCACTGTCGCATCCTGGAACCTCCACAGCCTTGAACGGAACTGTTGCATTCTAGGTAGATTGCACTTCTCCAAATTGTCCCTTGACTTTGCCACTGTTGGACTTGTGACCTTTTTGATGGGGCTTGATGCATGCTTCGGTTGATCCCTTCTCAAGCTTCTTCACCGTGTATTCATGGTTATCTTGAGAAGGTTGAGCATTGCACTTTCCTTTTAATTGAATCAAGTCCCCTTTTAGCCTCTCAACCTCTTCCTTGAGTTCTTTATTTTCTTTTGATAATGGAATCATCACAAGTTTCTACAAGTACATGCTCAACGGAAGGTTGGCTTGCTAGAGAGCAACAATTGTTAGCACATAATAAAATATATGGAACTTGTGTACATGTACACTTGTGAGTGTGAGGTTGGTATGATTTTACCGCTGTTGCCTCAACCTCATGAGCAATTTCTAGCATGAGATGAGAGTCAATAAGCTTCTCATGAGAGCACAAGAGCCCATTATGACTTTCTTGCAAAGTCTCATTCTTGATAGTGAGCCTCTCCACTTTGTCCTTGAGCATATTATTCTCATCTTCTAATTGAGCAACACAAGATAGAGAGTTAATAGTACGAGTTTGCTCAATTGATAAGTTTTCATACCTTTCGACCAAACTAGCATGAGAGCACTTAAGCTTTTCATGCTTTTTGGTCAACTTCTCCAAGCATTTGATCTTGTTGATGAGAAACTCTTCTTGATCGTGAAGTGTTTCTTCTTACTCTTGAATTTTCTCTATGAGCTTGAGCACCATCAACTTGTCTTTCTTGGTTAGACGTGCCAAGTGTTGATTGAACTCATCATCACTTTCATCTTCACTCTCACTCTCACTCTCACTCTCACTCTCACTCTCACTCTCACTTTTACTTTTACTTTCACTTACCACATTCTTCTCTTTCTTTGCCATGAGACCCACATGAGGTGTGGCATAGAGAGTTGAGCTTCTTTGTGAGGCGGATTCATCATTTGGCCTCCACCGATCACAATCTTCTTCTTCCTTTAAAATGTTAGTCTCACAAGAACAAGAGGAAGTAGAAGTAGAAGTACCACATGTAAAAACATTGTTCTCACCAATTATTTCATTGCCTTCTGTTAAGTCATATGTTGGCGAGGAAGTGGATGTGGCATGATCACTTAGGCCTTTTGGGAGAATCATTTGAGGCTCTTACATTTGTCGGTGAAGTTGAGCACTCCTCAAGTGGTTCCTCCAATGAGAGCAACTTGTCATCACATTTGGATACTTTTCTTTGAGCGTGGTCCAAATGAGATGAGCATTATCAAGCGGTTCATCATCTCCAAATATGATGGCATCAAAAACATCTTCTCTCAAAGCACTAAATAAGACATTAGTAGCTTGAGCATTGTGTTGTAAGCATTTCACTTCCTCTTTAGATAAGATGGCCAAATCATCACTAGGAGGTGAAATGCTCACATCTACAATCCGCTCAATATGAGGACCCATAGCCCTAAAAACATCAAGCACACTAGCGGACCAAGATGCATAATTTGAACCATCAAAAAGTAGAAGTTCTAGAGATACCTCCTCGCTTGTCGACATCGTCTCTCAAGGCGGTTAAGCCCAAATTGGAGAGCCTAGCTCCGATACTGATTGAAAGGACCTTGATGTCGCCTAGAGGAGAGGTGAATAGGCGCTACTAAAAATTAACAACAAATAAAACTTGCAGCAGATTAGTAGAGTGCGCGGCACTGCTGCTCCATCACGCGGCACTGCCGCACTGCAGCACTGCCTCACTGAGAATGTGGCACTGCCGCACCTGCGCAGAGAGCTTCAATAGCAGCTACGCCTAGAACCCAAACTTAGAGATATGCATGGAGATGTCCAGTGGAAAGTCCACTAAGTACCTGCACTCACAAACACGCACAACCAAGTAGATCGAGTAGAACATAAATAATGCAAATCAACACAAGAGAGAGGACACGCGATTTATCCCGTGGTTCAGCTCGTCACCAAGGCTTGCCTATGTTCACGTTGTTGAGGAAGCCACAACGGCTTTGGGTCTCTTCCAACCCTATCCTCTTCTCAAGTCCAACACCGAGGTTGAGCTTGAGGTTTCCACTAAGATCTTCATATAATACAAACTTTCCCGCATCTCACCACAAGCACAGGAGCTCACCGGGCGATGCCTAGCCGTCTAGGAGGCTTCATCTCCAAGAGTAACGAATGCACAACAAATACTTGACGCAGCCCAACAAGTGCTCAAGGATTGGCTTGCTCTTAATTGCTCTCTAACACTTCATCAAACACTAATCACTCACTCTCATAAAGAGAGGGGTTAGAGAGAGCTCTCACAAGTCTTAAAATGGGTTGGGAGTGATCTCAATGTTAGCAGCAACACCAGGAGGCGTGGGATGTGTATTTCTAGCCACCCCACACAAACTAGCCATTGTAGTTCAAAAACTAGCCGTTATGACCTGTACAGGCAAGGCACTGCTGCAAAAATTTATGGCACTGCCGTAGCTCCCAGAAACAACACATGCAGCTCACAGAAAACGCCATAACTTTTTACTCCAAACTTCGTTTTCAGTGATCTTGACTTTCTAGAAAGCTTGTTTCGGGGGCTATCTAGTCCAGCCAAGTGCAAGCCCCAAAATCAATAAGTGCAGTGTTTGAGCACTTGAGACTTGTCTATGATTCGTATTGCATCCCCCTTGATTGTACGACATACCTATACTTAGGATCAAGAGAATATAACCATTTCAACCACTTGAGTCTTTAATATCTTCATATGCCATTGCTTCTCAATATCACTTCATAAAGGGTTACAATCATCTTTATCTCATTTATTCGAGCAAACACACATTGAGCACGTGACTTGAACCATTTTCTTACATATGAGTTCATTTCAATGGCTTCAAGTCACTTTCACTAATGATTTAATTCTCAACACAATATGACTCCTCATAGCTTGATTAGTTCCTTGACTCAATGCAAGTACTCTCTTCTTCACCTTAGCCATGGTACCTCGGTCCTTAAGCCATCGCTTGCCCTTCACCTTCGCTTAGTCCCTCGAAGTCCTTTCCTTGCTATCTTCATCTTATGAAGCCATACTCAAGTCACATCATATTAACCATCCATTGAAAAACCATTTTTCAATAGTATGTTCCTTACTTGAATATCTTCTAGATATAAATGTTGAGATCAATCAAGCTTTAATTTTATTCACATAAAGACATATATGAATCAACATTAATATGGTCAAGCCAATTCACGATTCCTTATATCCTCTTTATTTTGGCTTGACACTCCTAATACTCACTTCAATATCTATCTTCATACTTCTAGCTTGCTCAAGTCAATGCAAAGTGATTTTTCAAATCTTTATCCATACAAGCAAACCAATGTAGAGAACATCTTATATCCATTATACATTATCTCATTTGTCATTTCACCTTTGCTTAACATTTCCTCACTTATACACTCTTAATTTATTCTTCAATCCTTGATCAAAGCTAGTCCACTATCCAACTCTTCTTGTTCATGCAAAGCAAGCTATTATAGAGACCAATCCAAAATCATCAACTCATGTCTCATTTGCCATTTGCCAAATATTCTTGCTTTCACATGATGCTATGATATCCCACAACATAAAAACTATTTCATTGATTCCATTTGCATTGTTATCTTTTGCTTGAACTAGATTGTTAAAAAAAAACTTTTAGACAACCAATGATTTGCAAGGGATTTAATGTTCTGTGTAGGGACAAAATTAGATGCCGGGTAAGAAAATGGGGTAACAATCTTTGAGCCAGCGATAAGAGAGAAAAGCTTAGATATAGCTCTCTATGTTGACAGGGGAGAGAATATATGAATAAATAACACGTTAGTAGAACACATAGGATGAAATACTTTCTACCTTCTAAATTATAAGTCGTTTTGATTTTTTTTATACATAGAATTTGCAATATATCTATACATTATTTCTAGATATATAACAAAAATGATGTACCAAAATAAGTTAAAAGGATTTATAATTTAGAGTAGAGGGAGTATCGATTAAATCTAATAAGTCAAAATAATTTATAATTTAGAACGGAGGGAGTATCATTTTTAAGACTTTTATCTCACTTGTGGATTGTGCTATTAGAGGTGCCCTTATGGCCTCATTCGTTTCGCTGAAAAAAAACCGAAATACTATTCCGACTGATTTGTTGTGAGAGAAAAATACTATTTCGACTGAAAAAATAAGCTGAAAAATACAGATATGTGGAACCTGCCAACCTGAAGCCAGCTCTACCATTCTCTCTGCGGTCTCGCACAATCGCACAAGGCACAACTGCCAACACAGAAACCAACAAAACATAGAACAAATCACAATGAGTAATAATTATTATCCATCCGCACATTTTTACTATCATGTAATGCTGGACAAAAACTATATCAAACGATTACAATATTGTACATTTACAGCCTTTAACCTACTACGTACTCTAGTTTACAACACTTGCTGCCAACCAAAGTGTTGGAATGCAAGGTTCTGTGTATGCTTTGACCACGGAGAAATGCAGTGGTCCGAAAGCAGTGGCTTTCTTCGAGCTTTCTTGCACGAGACTGTCAGTCCTTTGTCCCAGCCGAGTTTTCTTGCACGGTTGCTTTCTTCGAGCTTTCTTGCACGAGACTGTCAGTCCTTTGTCCCAGCCGAGTTTTCTTGCACGGTTGCTTTCTTCGAGCTTTCTTGCACGAGACTGTCAGTCCTTTGTCCCAGCCGAGTTTTCTTGCACGCACGTATATGTATTATGTACACGTTCTTCATGCACGGCACGTTTGCTGGTCTTGACATGGAGTCTCTGATGCTCGCTGCACAAATGATGACTCCAACATCTTCTTGGGCCTTAGCTCAGATTTTTCTTTTGGGACACGAAGTGCCATGAACTGCAGTGAGGCGCTCTGAATTTGGTAGATATAGCATCCCCATGGGTAAGCATCAGATGACGTCCATATGATTTGCTCCTCATACTCGGCATCCTCCGTGAGTCTCTCATCCACACAGAAAGCACAGTCAAGAGGGGGCTCCTCGAATGAAGGGGCAGCAACACACCCAAGAGCTACGTATCCCCCCGGTGGCCTTGGAAGCCATATTGATACAGGGTTCCTGTAATCCTCAGCACAGTTTCTCCAAACCTGCAGGCAAGGCAATCATGAAAGCAAAATCTATCAACAGGACTTCTCCCCTCATACACTGTTCCAAAATAAAAAAAAACAGCTGCTATTTATGCATGATAAAAGTAACAGAAGGATTATATTATTTCAGTATAATAAGCTCAATACTGGCCAAGCATATATGACACAAACTCTCATTAAAAACTGACCAGGTCATAGCCAAGGGGTAGTGCAAAGTTCTCATTGATGCTCTTGTATACAGAAGCAAACTGTGGCGGATGGGTGCCAACATGAGCAACATCACCAACATCACCAATTCGCGGCACTGCTGCAGCTCCCAGAAACAGCATATGTCACCTCACAGAAAACGTCATAACTTTTTACTCTAAAGTCCGTTTTCAGTGATCTTGGACTTTCTGGAAAGCTTGTTTCGATGGCTATCCAGTCCAGCCAAGAGCAAGCCCCAAAATCAACAAGTGCAGGTGTTGTGCTAATGTGTCTCTCTCATGTTAACACTTGGGTTTTGTTAGTTTGAGCAATTGAGACTTGTCTATAATTCGTATTGCATCCCCTTTGATAGTACGGCATACCTATACTCAGGATCAAAAGAATATAACCATTTCAACCACTTGAGTCTTCAATGTCTTAATATGCCATTGCTTCTCAATATCACTTCATAAAGGGTTACAATCATCTTTATCTCATTTATTCGAGCAAACACACGTTGAGCATGTGACTTAAACCATTTCCTTACATATGAGTTCACCTCAATTGCTTCAAATCACTTTCACTAATGATTAGTTTTCTTGCACGGTTGCTTTCTTCGAGCTTTCTTGCACGAGACTGTCAGTCCTTTGTCCCAGCCGAGTTTTCTTGCACGCACGTATATGTATTATGTACACCTTCTTCATGCACGGCACGTTTGCTTGTCTTGACATGGAGTTTCTGATGCTCGCTGCACAAGTGATGACTCCAACATCTTCTTGGGCCTTAGCTCAGATTTTTCTTTTGGGACACGAAGTGCCATGAACTGCAGTGAGGCGCTCTGAATTTGGTAGATATAGCATCCCCATGGGTAAGCATCAGATGACGCCCATATGATTTGCTCCTCATACTCGGCATCCTCCGTGAGTCTCTCATCCACACAGAAAGCACAGTCAAGAGGGGGCTCCTCGAATGAAGGGGCAGCAACACACCCAAGAGCTACGTATCCCCCCGGTGGCCTTGGAAGCCATATTGATACAGGGTTCCTGTAATCCTCAGCACAGTTTCTCCAAACCTGCAGGCAAGGCAATCATGAAAGCAAAATCTATCAACAGGACTTCTCCCCTCATACACTGTTCCAAAATAATAATAAAAACATCTGCTATTTATGCATGATAAAAGTAACAGAAGGATTATATTATTTCAGTATAATAAGCTCAATACTGGCCAAGCATATATGACACAAAATCTCATTGAAAACTGACCAGGTCATAGCCAAGGGGCAGTGCAAAGTTCCCATTGGTGTTCTTGTATACAGAAGCAAAATGTGGCGGATTGGTGCCAACATGAGCAACATCACCAATTCATGGCACTGCCGCAGCTCCCAGAAACAGCACATGTGACCTCATAAAAAATGCCATAACTTTTTACTCCAAAGATCGTTTTCAGTGATCTTGGACTTTCTGGAAAGCTTGTTTCGGTGTCTATCCAGTCCAACCAAGAGCAAGCCCCAAATTCAACAAGTGTAGGTGTTGTGCTAATGTGTCTCTCTCATGTTAGCACTTGGGTTCGGTTAGTTTGAGCTCTTAAGACTTGTCCATGATTCGTATTGCATCCCCTTGATAGTACGACATACCTATACTCAGGATCAAGAGAATATAACCATTTCAACCATTTGAGTCTTCAATGTCTTCATATGCCATTTCTTCTCAATATCACTTAATAAGGGGTTGCAATCATCTTTATCTCATTTATTCAAGCAAACACACCTTGAGCATGTGACCGCGTTGTCATCCCCGCTCCTCCGCGAGCACCGGCGCCCTCCTCTTCTTCTTCCCCGCGCGCGTGTGCACGCCGTGCCGCGCTGTCACCACCGTTCCCCGCAGCACCGCCGCATTCTCCGTGCCCGCGCGCCCGAGCCTCCAGCGCCACCGCATGCAAGTCGCCGAAGCACCGCGCGCCATCTGGTCGCCCGCGCCCCCTGTATTCGCCGAGCCACCATGAATCGGAGCTGCCGCTACCGGTTTGCCACCTTCCGCGGTTTGCGTGGGCAGGCTACCGTGGGGCAGCTCGGGCCTTGCCGTGGCCGGGTCGTGGTCGCGCGAGTTCCCGGGCAACTCTCCGGTGGGTCTCCCGCCACCGCCGTGCCTTCCCGGCCGGGACTGGTCGCCGGCCGGAGCTCCCCTGTCGGTGCTCTGCTTTGGAAGAAGACGAAGGGTATGAATCCAAGCCGAGATTTTATACGGGGACCTTTCTACGAAATATGCGACCTAGGTAAATAGTGCCGATGTACTGTGGGGGTATTTTGTTAGAAACTCTGGGTCTTAACGCAAAATTTACCACCACTGTCCTACCCTAGCGGCGTGGGCCGGCTTGCTGGGCCATCCGTGTCCGCGCGCCTGGGCCGGCCTGTTAGGTCCCCGACTGGGTCGCTCGCGCCCGTCCCTATGTTGGACCGCGTCGCCGTTTCAGGGCCGCTGCCCTGCTCCCGGCCGCTTGGGCCGCTGGCGGCGCGCACCGCCTGGCCGCTGGCCTGGGCCGCGGTGCCGTGCGCGCTCCCCGCCCTCTAGGCCTTGGCCGGCTTGGCTGTGGGCATCTGGGCCTCTTGGCCACCCACGTGGGCCGCGCTGGCCGAGGCTGGCCCGAGTGCTTATCTTTTTCTTGTTTTTGTTTAAAAAGGGCTGAAACTTGCAAAATCTAAATAAAATTATGTAGGTGTCCAAAAATGATGAAACCAGTTTTGTTAGTTTCCTAAAATCATGATCTATCTAATAGTGTATTTTGTTCACATAGTTTTATAATATTCTTGGAATCTATATAATTAATTTAAGATACTTAATATGGTAAAAATATGAACTTGTAGGAATTGTTGTAATTGTTGTAGTTCCAGAATAATTACTTTGCTAGATAGATGATGATGCCCTATTTTGAATAAATATTAAATTGATAAAATGAAATAAAGAAACAACTTGGGTTTATATAACTAAAGTAATTGTCGGGAAATAACGTCTTATCCGACAACGCGTATATGTAGCCTAAGTACAGTCGTCATCAGAACTAGCCGTTAACTCGAGAGGCGTACGTCGTATTTTACGAGTCACGGTTGCAGTTGATTAATTACGTCTTTGCATTTGCATCGCATTGCATCTCATATAGGTACGATGATGGATCGACGGATCGATCGAAGGATGATTGGGAATCCAAAGATGGTGTAATGGTATTCTCTCCAGGAAATGATGCAATGGGCTTTCTATTCAGATGATGTGGATGATCTGAAGATGCAGATACTAACTTTTTAATATATATCTTACCCAGGCAAGCCCCGGTGCATAACCCCTACTTTCTACAGTTTAAATTATATTTCTGCATTAAGTTTTAAGGAGTTGATTGAAACCCACTTGCATATATATCTTTATCCTATGAGTCTTACTAGTATGATAGGATCGTGTAGATTGCTATGCTACAGGACTCCGGTAGAAGTCGAGTGATTGCCTGTCACTCGCGAGAGATAGGAAATATATTACTGGATTATTATCACTTGGAAAAATATAAATGGTGGAAAGGAAAAATGGTGACTGGGCATGGATATGGTTTGGGTATTGGTGGGTGTAAGAGGTTCTGTCGCCGTGGATGCGGGACATGGCTTGGTTACACTGATTTCCCGGTCTGGTCGGTTAAGGACCGATCGTTGAATAAGATTCTAGGCAAGTCACAAACTTATTATCCCGAGCACATACTTGGGTATGGGCGCTTGGAAGACTTGTTGCTCTCTGGTCGTGGATCGGGCTCTTTCCGGACCGACTGTCAGGGTTTTTATTTTGGTGGAGGAGGTCCTTACACCGCACTGAGTCCGGGACTCAGGGGCGGGGGCTTGGAGTCCCAGTTTGAATGGGGACCTGGACACCCGGGACAGGAGAGTGTTGGGTTGGTCCTGCTTGTGCCCGGGGTACAAGCGGGGCGTGTGTTTTTGGGGTACCCAGCTGGGGGCATTGATTCGCGAATCGTCGGGCGATCCGGTACGGCTTGTCTACGGTTTAACATCGTAGTAAGAACTAAGGATGAAAGATGGAAGAGGAAATCTAATAGCTTACCACCTGCTTGAAAGTAGCATAGGTGCTTACATAGAATGGTTACTTAATGAACCAATGCGGCTATTAATAAAAATTGAATATAAGGACGCACGTTTAGTAATGCTTCCTGCAAGTGCAACCCACAAGCCAGATAGCCTTGCATATCCTTGGAGTCTTTTCTGTTCTCCTGTCGGGTAAGTCTTGCTGAGTACAATTGAGTACTCAGGGTTTTATTCCCCCTGTTGCAGGTGACAAGTGGATGCTAAAGCTGACCTTGTGCGTGGATTCCTCCTGGTGGGCTCAACGAGGATTCCTTTACGTTACGATCGTAGTTGTTATTTATAACTCTCACCAAATGTTTTTATAAATGAAAGTTCATAACCTGTTGTTGTAGTTTATTATCCATACTTCATCATGTCATGATTAGATATTCCTTTCAGCTGTAATACTGATCACATGTTTATATTCCGCTGTTATATTAATAAATATTATACTATGATGTTGTATTAAAAGTGATGTAAGAAATGGTTAAGAATGATGTAAGCTTTATTCTCTCATTTGTGATCCTGAGGGCAAAAATGTGGATTTTTGGGTCCTCCCCCTGGGGTGTGCCCGATGGAACTGAGTAATTTAGTGTTCTCCCTTGGGTGCTTAGTGTCTAATGGAAGACGAGCACTCCTGTGAGGCATTAGATTAGGCAGTTCTGCCACAGGTGGTATCAGAGCGCAAATGAGGAAATAAGGCTTCGAAAACCTTTTCTAAACTACAATTTGACAACCCATTTTTGTAAAAAGTTAGGACGTTTGTATGCGAAGTTATATAAGTAGCCCTATTACTATGGTTATGTATCCAGGATAGATGGCACGCTGCTGACTTAGATAGGCTTAATCAAGTTTTCTGCAGGTACACTGACTTGAGCATAGTTCAATAGTATCGACTAGTTACAGGGAGAGAACGATGTGCCAAAAATCTGAGAACGGTTGCCCTATATGTTGGCAACAGTGAAAGGACGTATAGGACGTGCATTCATGCATATCCTATTTGTGCTTTGTAGCGCTCGTATTGCTTGCTGATACGCCATACATAGGTGTCACGCGTGTCGTATTGTGCACGATTGACTCGTTCCTGTCCTAGAGTTAGGTCTGCACTGTGGCTTCGTGTTTGGCGTTCGCCCGTGGTTCGTGCCGATCGTGACCCACGTATCCCTTTTCTGCGCTCTTATCAGACCCTTGCCCTGCAGTCATACTAGTCAGTAATGGCATCGCACGTCTCTCGCCTCGAACGCGCAGAATTTGGTCGATTCATTCATAGTGATCTCGCGCGGGAACCCTGGTGAACCGCGCCAGGACCACTGAACATTCCGCCTTTATAAGTAGAGCCTGGCTTAGCTTTTCCTTGAGTCAGCTTTTCGCTTAGCCTTCCTTGCAACCACCGCTAGAGATGGCAGGAGCCTAGGTTAGTGCCTACTGCCTGAACGTTGAGGGTTTTCCCAAAATCCTGCATGCCACCGTGCAAAAGCTCAGAGTCAAAGATCACCCCGAGTATGAGGGCCGTGAGTATGAGGAGCATGGCATCGAGCGGTGTGAGGTTACCTTCTACATCGGGAAGAGTGAAGAGTTCCCCGACCTCACTGAAGCCTGGAGTGTTACCGCAACCGGGTTTCGCTTCGCGGACACCTACCAGGTTGTGGCCCACAAAGCCTTGCGGTACCTCTGCCAGATCTATGAGGAGCCCATTGCCCGTACCCCCATGAGGTTCTTTCCTCCTTTGGACAAGAATCGATGGGTATGGAGGGCTCGTATGGAGGCTCTACAAGAGTAGGACGCGCAAGAGGACAGTTCCACCATGGTGCACTTGACCATGTACCTACTCGCTCTGGATGAGCAGTACGACCGTCAAGCCTTAGAACTGAGGAGCTACCTCCATCGAGTCGAGGAAGCCAAGATCTTCAACCGAATGCTCCAGGTGCAGCTCGCCGAAGCGCATGCCAGTGTTGTAGCTGTTG